TCATTTGGGTGTCCCCTAGGCTGAACATCCAAGACGGCACGCTCACATGTTTGGAACTTTGCTGAGGTTGGTTAGAAGAGGGAGAGGGCTGAAATAGGCCACTGAGATGGCTGGGGCCTCTTTGCCCATGCAGTCTCAGGGTCTCTCCCTTTCTACCTGGTCTCTAAGTCACTTCTCCATATGATCTCTGTGGGATGACCTGATCAGAGGCTGGTGAAAGAATTCCCCCAACGCAGAACAAAGGAGAGAGAAGTTTATTGACTATACCACAAGGGAGCAATGGGCAGGACAGCAAAGGAGAGACTGCCTGCCAGGAGGCAGCAGGTGAGGGGTGGGAAAGCTGTATTTAAGGGGGAAGGTGAGAAGGTATGGGAATTTTCCTTTTTTGGTACCTATGTCCAGGTATAAGTAACTCATTGGTCAGCTAGGCCTTATGGATATTTTGAGGTGGGTGGCCTAATGGGCCTGTTTGTATTCAGTAGGGAGTCTCTGTGGGCCCTTCTACCATACTCAGGTTTCCATTGTTCAAGTTAGTTGACTAAAAGTGGCAAGCACCCTTAAAATACATGCTTTTATATGGACATGAGTATTCATTTCTCTTGGGTTGATATCTGGTCCATGAATATTTAAATATATTTTATAATATATTAATTCTACATATTTATTAATTTTGTATAATTAATTATATTTAATTACATTTCTACATTTAATTAATTTTATGTATTCTATAATATATCTGATTCATTGATATTTTTATGAGAAAGCTAAAGGTTATTTTCCAGTTATTAAACTTTATCTTTCTAATCCCCCGTTAACAGCAAATAATAGTTAATTTGGAAGAAGATGATTAGAGAAGTTGATGGAACCTTTACTTTAAGGGTAAAGGAATTTGCAATCCCTGTCAAAATATCACCAGCATTCTTCAGAGAGCTAGAACAAACAATCTTAAAATTTGTATGGAACCCCAAAAGACCCCCAAATAGTCAAAGAAATCTTGAAAAAGAAAACCAAATATGGAAGCATCACAATCCTGGACTTCAAGATGTATTACAAAGCTGTAATCATCTAGACAGTATGGTACTGGCACAAAAACAGACACATAGATCAATGGAACAGAATAGAAAACCCTGAAATGGACCTACAAACATATGGCCAACTAATCTTTGACAAAGCAGGAAAGAATATCCAATGAAATAAAGACAGTCTCTTCAGCAAATGCTGTTGGGAAAACTGGACAGAGACATGCCGAAAAATGAACCTGGACCACTTTCTCACACCATGCACCAAAATAAACTCAAAATGGGGCGCCTGGGTGGCTCAGTCGGTTAAGCGTCTGACTTCAGCTCAGGTCATGATCTCTCGGTCCGTGAGTTCGAGCCCCGCGTCGGGCTCTGTGCTGACAGCTCAGAGCCTGGAGCCTGTTTCAGATTCTGTGTCTCCCTCTCTCTGACCCTCCCCTGTTCATGCTCTGTATCTCCCTGTCTCAAAAATAAATAAAACGTTAAAAAAAATTTATTTTAATAAAAAAAAACTCAAAATGGATGAAAGACCTAAACATAAGACAGGAAGCCATCAAAATCCTCAAGGAGGAAGCAGGCAAAACCTCTTTGACCTCGGCCTCAGTAACTTCTTACTCAACACGTCCCTGGAGGCAAGGGAAACAAAAGCAAAAATGAACTATTGGGACATCAACAAAATAAAAATCTTCTGCAGAGTGAAGGAAACAATCAGCAAAACTAAAAGCCAACTGACAGAATGGGAGAAGATATTTGCAAACAACATATCAGATAAAGGGTTAGTATCCAAAATTTATGAGGAACTTAGCAAACACAACACCCAAAAAACAATCCGGTGAAGAAATGGGCAAAAAACACGAATAGACACTTCTCCAAAGAAGACATCCAGATGGCCAACCAACATATGAAAAAATGCTCAACATCACTCATTACCAGGGAAATACAAATCAAAACCACAATGAGATACCACCTCACACATGTCAGAATGGCTAACATTAACAACTAAGGCAACAACAGATGTTGATGAGGATGCGGAAAAAGAGGAACCCTTTTGCACTGCTGGTGGGAATGCAAACTGGTGCAGCCACTCTGGAAAACAGTATGGAGGTTCCTCAAAAAACTAAAAATAGAACTACCTTACGACCCAGCAATTGCACTACTAGGTATTTATACAAGGGATACAGGTGTGCTGTTTCCAAGGGACACATGCACCCCCATGTTTATAGCAGCACTATCCACAATAGCCAAAGTATGGAAAGAGCCCAAATGTCCATCACTGGATGAATGGATAAAGAAGATGTGGTGTGTATATACAATGGAGTATTACTCGGCAATCAAAAAGAATGAAATCTTGCCATTTGCAACTACATGGATGGAACTGGAGGGTATTATACTAAGTGAAATTAATGAGTCAGAGAAAGACAAAAATCATATGACTTCATTCATATGAGGACTTTAAGAGACAAAACAGATGAACATAAGGGAAGGGAAGCAAAAATAAGATAAAAACAAGAAGGGGGACAAAACATGAGACTCTTAAACATGGAAAATAAACTGAGGGTTGCTGGAGGGGTTGTGGGAGGGGAGATGGGCTAAATGGGTAAGGGACATTAAGGAATCTACTCCTGAAATCATTGTTGCACTATATGCTAACTAACTTGGATGTAAAATAAATAAATATTAACTTAAATTTAAAAAATAAAATAAATAAAAAACTATTTTAGAAATAAAAAAGGGTAGGGGCGCCTGGGTGGCGCAGTCGGTTAAGCGTCCGACTTCAGCCAGGTCACGATCTCGCGGTCCGTGAGTTCGAGCCCCGCGCCAGGCTCTGGGCTGATGGCTCGGAGACTGGAGCCTGTTTCTGATTCTGTGTCTCCCTCTCTCTCTGCCCCTCCCCTGTTCATGCTCTGTCTCTCTCTGTTCCAAAAATAAATAAACGTTGAAAAAAAAAAATTAAAAAAACAAAAAAAAAACAAAAAAAAAAGTTGAAAGAAAAAAAATTAAAAAAAAAAAGAAATAAAAAAGGGTAAATGAATTTGATTTTTCTGTTTGTTTTTGAGAGAGAGAGAGCGAGCGAGAGAGAGCACTTGTGTGCACCAGTGGGGGAGAGTGGCAGAGGGAAAAAGAAAATCTTCAACAGGCTCCACACTGAGCATGTAACACATTACTCCACAATCCTGGGATCATGACCTGAGCCCAAATCAAGTCAGATGCTCGGGGCACCTGGGTGGCTCAGTCGGTTGGGAGTCCTACTTTAGCTCGGTCATGATCTCTCAGTCTATGAGTTCAAGCCCTGTGTCGGGCTCTGTGCTGACAGCTCAGAGCCTGGAGCCTGTTTCAGATTCTGTATCTCCCTCTCTCTCTGACCCTCCTCCGTTCATGCTCTGTCTCTCTCTGTCTCAAAAATAAATAAACGTTAAGGAAAAAAAAAAAAAGAGTCAGATGCTCAACCAACTGAGCCACCCATTTAAGAGCTTAGATGTTGAAATGTAACTGCATTGTTTAAAATCCTGATTCTACCATTCACAAGATGTATGACCTTAGGCAAGTTACTTAACTTCTGTGAGCTTCAGCTTTTTTATCTGCAAAGTGGAGGAAAACATAATGATAACTATCTTATTAGATGATTGTGATGATTAAATCAGATGCCTCCAAACCTAACGCTAGGCACTTTGTAAATATGTATTAATTGTTAGTAATTATTAATAATAATTTATATACTGATGCATTATTACCTTTAAAAAATTATTTATTTATTTTGAGACACAGAGAGAGAGAGAGAGAGAGAGAGAGAGTGCACCCGTGTGCTTGTGTGTGTGTAGGTGCACGGGTATGTGGGCAAGCAACAGAGGGGCAGAGAGTGGGAGGGAGAATCCCAAGCAGGCTCTGTGCTGTGGCATCAGACACAGGGCTCCAACCCACCAACCAATAAGTCATGACCTGAGCTGAAACCAAGAGTGGGACGCTTAACCAACTGAGCCACCCAGGCAACCCTGCATAGTTACATTTTTATAGTGAAAATGCATTGCTTTTGAAATTTTTTATTTATTTATTTTTAACTTCTTAAAATATTTATTTATTTTTGAGAGAAAGACAGCACGAACAAACAGGGGAGGGGCAGAGAGAGAAGGAGACCCAGAATCCGGAGCAGGATCTAGGCTCTGAGCTGTCAGCGCAAAGCCCAATGTGGGGCTCAAATTCACGAACCGTGAGATCATGACCTGAGCTGAAGTCAGACACTTAACCAACTGAGCCACCCAGGCACCCCATTTTTGAAATTGTAAAAACAATTTTTAAATGTGTGAAGTCAACCTTAATTTTGAGCATTTACTAATACAAATGCATTCTTAAATTATCAAGTCATGCGTTAAACTGCAAAATAGGAATTTTGCCCTGCTTTCTTGGTGTTTCGCAGGAAACGGAGACTGTTCACTTAAGGTCTGAATTGTGCTTTAGTTATTCTTTTCCATTCTATAAATCAAGGAGGGGCACTTTCCCGGGCACAAAAATTCATGAAGTTGTGGTACCTTTTTTACCAAAATTGTTCCTAAAACAACTACTAATGACATTAAATTTCCTAATCTATAAGGAGTTCCTTTTAGTATTCTATTGGTCATTCGGATCTTTGAAGCAAAGCAATTCCAACTAAATTTCATGTTGACCCCTAAGGCTTTTGTTTTAGAGTGAAAGAACTCTGTTAATAATCTAGCATCTTTTCCAAGATCCTGTCTCATCTCCCTTTGGTAGATTGGAGTATTCCATTTTAATTCATTGCCTGTGGAATTAGTAATTATATGATTTCTCTTGTGACTCCAATCTTAAATAATGATATCCCTTTAATAAGCTTTGTTCTATTTATAGGGCTTAAAGAGAAATTTGATTTTTAAGAGAAAACAGCAGCAATACTACAAATAACTGTTAAAATGTATTCTAGAAGCTGTTTTCTGGCCTGTTTTTTATTGCTTTATTTGTGTTTCTGGTCAGAAGAACTGGAATGCAGAATGAGGAGCTTATGAGGTTCTCACCCTGGCTCCTCCCACCCATGCTTGGATTCAAACAAGTGGCCACTCACTAGCATATCCAAATGGATACCAGAGCCATTTTCCAGACCTCAGGAGTCCTATAGCCTTTCACCAGCCAAGCTGTGAGTACCTACAAGGTAACAAGTACTTTTCTCAAGGCTATCTTTCTGTGTGTGTGTGTGTGTGTGTGTGTGTGTGTGTGTGTGTGTGTGTAACAGCTTTATTGAAGTATAGTTTATATACTACACAATTTACCCATTTAAAGTGTAAAACTTATTGGTTTGTTTTGGGTTTTTTGAGTGTGTGTGTGTGTGTGTGTGCATAAGCTGGGGAGGGGCTTGTGAGAGGGAAAGGAACAGAGAGAATCTTAAGCAGACTCCACACCCAGTGCAGAGCCCAACGTGGGGCTTGATCTCATGACCCCGAGATCATGACCTGACCTGAAATCAAGAGTCAATGCTTAACCAACTGAGCCACCCAGAGCCCCTCATTGATTTTTAATATATTCACAGAGTTGTGCAATTATCACCAAAATGAATTTTAGAACATTTTCATCACCCCAAATATAAACCACATGCCCAGTAACAAAACTCCCCTTTCCACATAGTGACAACAAAGCTCACCAAAAAAAAGTATTTAAATTTATCCTACTAAAGCAAAAAGGACAGATTAAAAGGAAATCTCAAACTGTGCATAGTGTTCTAATTTTTAAATTCTATAATTGTGTTTTGTCCTATCTCAAATTGTGCAAAGAATATTTTTAAGGACTCCTATTTTTTAATTTGGGAAATTTATATTTTATAACAAAAAGGATTGAAATTGAGAAGATACAGAATTTTCCAGCATCTAAAATCGTGAAAATTGGGGTGCCTGGGTGGTTCAGTCGGTTAGGCATCTACTTCAGCTCAGGTCATGATCTCGTGGTTCATGAGTTCAAGCCCTGCATTGGGCTCTGTGTTGACAGCTCAGAGCCTGGAGCCTGCTTTGGATTCTCTGTCTTCCTCTCTCTCTACCACTCTGCTTCCCCTGCTCATGCTCTGTCTCTAGGTCTCTCTCAAAAATAAATAAACATTAAAACTGTTAAAATAATTAAAAGAATCACAGAAACAAAACAAACAAACAAACAAACATTCCCCTATTCACCCCAGCCCTAGGCAACTACTAATCTATTTTCTGTCTCCTTGAATTTGCCTATTCTGGAAATTTCACGTAAATGGCAGCATATAATATGTGGCCTTTTGTGTCAGTCTTTTTCATTTATCATAATGTTTTCAAAGTTCATGTTGCAGTGTGTATCAGTACTTCTTTTAATGGCTGAATAATACTCCATTGTATGGATGTGCCACGTTTTCTTTAGCCATTCATTAATTAATGAGCATTTGAGTTGTTTCTACTTCTTAGCTATCATGAATAATGTTGCTATGCACATTCATGTGCAAGTTTTTGTGTAAACATATGTCTTCATTTCTCTTGGGTGGATGCGTAAGAGTGGAATTACTGGTCCATGTGTTTAACCTTTTGAGAAACTGCCAGCTTTACATCAAGGCTCTCTTAAGATCTACTTGGTCTTGGGTTAATTGTTGTTCCATTTGGGTATGTCCTTGGAAGCAGGCCCTTGCTGTTCAGATAAGAAACTTCTGTCAAAGACTTTCACTACATTATGATCTGAACTTAACAATCTAAAAAGTATGTGCTTTTCAACATTTTTGAAAATACGATGATTAGCATTCTTCTCTCTAGGGAAAAAAAAGATCCTGTTTATCAAGTTTCCAGAACTATATAGACTCTTAAGGAGCACTTGACTCTTCTCACCCTAAAAGGCTGAGTAGACTTTAGGGGCACGTGGAGCAAGGCATAGTTGTATAAATTAAGGAGCATTACAAAAGAAAATATGTCTTCATTATTGCAAGGAAATTCTTCATTTCGCTTACAACAACATCCCTTGTTTCAGAAGTCAGAAATTCATATGGGCTAATAAATTTTTTATTTTAGTCACTCACACCTTAGCACAAATTACTTTAATAATCACACTTTCCTCTTAACCCCTGGTTAAGTACGGACTAAGATGTTCTGGTAGTGGAGGAGGTACTTTAAAAAAGGTAGAAAACAAGTAATTTTAGAGCCTAAAAAGGGGAATTGGGACACACTACATGTATTACATTTAGTAGGTTATTTACTGCTCATAAAAATGCCATGAGATAAGTACTATCATTTTCCTTTAAAAATTTTTGACGTTTATTTACTTTTGAGAGAGAGAGAGAGTAAGAGCATGAGTGGGAGAAGGGCAGAGAGAGAGGGAGACACAAAATCCCAAGCAGGCTCCAGACTCCAAGCCATCAGCACAGAGACCGACACAGGGTGCGAACTCAGGAACCAGGAGATCATGACCTGAGCTGAAGTCAGACGGTTAACCGACTGAGCTACCCAGTTGCCCCCATTTTTACTTTAAAAGAAAGGAAAAGGGCTAAAAAAAAAAAAAGTTAAGTAACTTACTGAAAATCACACAAATTATATGTGAGAACTTTAACTCATATCTATCTGATTCCAAAAAAACAGAGCATCCACTCTCTGTCCTGAAGAGAGAACAAATACTTGCAGAACTCTGGGGCTGGGAAGTAGGGAATGTGGAGAGTAGAGGTATGCCGACACCAAACTTTGCCTTCTCTACAAATTTTTTTCACATCCCTGGTTGCCACAATCACCTGCTGGCAGCACCCCCTGACCCCCAATGGTGCAAAAATGCTAATGAGTCCTTAAATGCTTCGTCTTCCTGGCTTAGAGGACCTACTGTATCTGACTAAGTTAGAATGGTAGCAACTGCTGCTGCCTGAGCCACACACTCCAGCAAAACTTCCTTATTTGGAAAAGTCCTTTCCATCCTATCTGGGCAGAAAGAATACAATCTCACATTTAAAAAAAAAAACAAAATGCTTTGACCTACATCAGAAGGGGCACTTGAAAACACTAAAACACAGAGAAATGGCAAAAAGATCAAGTATATTTCTAAATACTTTGCTCAAGTAGAAGGTGGGGGAATGTGGATGGGGTGGGGAATGCTTCATCAGATAGTTAAAAGAAACAGCATTCACAAAACCCTTTTGCTTTAACCCCAGAAGCTCTTCTAGTTAGCAATAAGCTTTGTATCTCAGTTATATGAAATTTAGCACACTTTTTACTGGAATGAAGAAAAAATACATTTTGAAACTGCTGTTGAAGCCAGGAGGGAGCTGAATGGCAGGAGACTATAGTTTCTCAGATGGGGTTTAGCATTGCTTCTCTCCTACGCAGAGGTTATATTTGAAAAGATGGGACTAAGTGGATATTTTCAGGATGGGCCAATGAGGTCGGCCTGAGTGTTAGCTCTTGTTGTTCCTGGAGCAGCTTGGTAGAAAGATGAAAAGAGGAGACTAAAGTCTCAACCCTGCTGCTGGGTGAACTTGGGCAAATTACTTAACCTCTCTGGGTGGACCTCATTTTGCTCTTCTTTGAAGAGAAGTTCGACTAAATGACCTCCAATAACCTTTCCAGAATTGACTTTCTGTTTTGTGATTTCCATGATTGTGGAAAGGGCTTGTCTAGGCTAAAGCGTGCAACAGAAACCATGGGTTTCCAATGACCTCTAGACACGCCCCTCGTTCCCTAACTTCCCTCCTGGTACCTTTAAACCTCAGCCCTTCTGGAGCCCAGGGCCTTGGTATTGCTTCCGGGCTTCCTGGAGGGACCTCCCAGAAGACCCATTAGTATGCAAAGCACAATAAGCTGAATATCATTCCCAGTGCTTATCAAATTTTATCTGTCCTATATTCCATTCTCTCAGAGTCTGCTTTCAACCACCTGGCCCTGCGTGATGATGGATTAAATCAGATAAAATAACCCTCACTGAGATTTCCTAACATGTAACCCTCCTCACAAAATAACTTAAAAATAATCCGAATATACATCCCTCTTCCAAAGTTCCTCATATCTTTTTTTTGGTTTATTTACTTTGAGAGAGAAAGGGGGAGAGAGAGCGTGCACATGCACATGCAAGTGCACAAGCAGGGGAGGGAAGAGAGAGAGAGAGAGAGAGAGAGAGAGAGAGAGAGAGAGAATCCCAAGCAGCCTCTGCGATGTTATTGCAGTGCCCCAAGTGGGCCTGATCCCATGACCATGAGACCATGACCTGAGCCAAAATCAAGAGTCAGACGCTCACCCGACTGAGCCACCCAAGTGCCCAAAAGTTCCTAATATCTACATTATTTATTTATGTGGAAGGAGACAATTGATGGAGGGGTCTTCCTATGCCCCTGAAATTACATTAAGATTGGATTGCCTTCCCTGATCAGTGACACTTGGGGAAGTTGTCCTATCTTGGCAGGAAGATTGTAAACTCAAGATGGAGATTTTGTTTTTCTCTGCATTAATCTGCAGCTAATGCCAGTGAACATTATCCTTGTTTAATTACATTCACTAACCAACTGACACAACTTCCCCTGGGAAGAAGCTTATCCGACTCTGACTCATGCTTTACAGCATGTTGGATTTGAGGAAATGGATAATATACGCCCCGCTGGCTTTGGAATTTTAAACAGAAACCCACATGCCGCCAAGTCTCCAGCTTACTCCCAAATATGGGAGAATGTGTGCCCCAGCCACGGTTGCAGGAGGCATGCTCAGTGTGACAAAAGGCAAAACCCACAGTGTGTGCTGAATGCCAGGCCAGGCGTGGAGAGGCAGAGCAAGTATTCACTTAAAGGAAAAGGAACAACCCCAGAAAAGTGGTGGGAGGATGCCTCCTCTAAGGACTGTGTCCCTTTCCTAGAGTTATTTTGATGATGTCATAGCAGTGAATGTCTTATTAAAAGTAAAGTAGGAGTGCCTAGGTGGCTCAGTCAGTTATGCGTCCAACTCTTGATTTCAGCTCAGGTCATTATCTCACAGTTCGTGAGTTTGAGCCCACGCTGACCTTGAGGAGTCTGCTTGTGATTGTCTCTCTCCTCTCTCTCTCTCTCTCTCTCTCTTTCTCTCTCTCTCTCTTTCTCTCCCCTCCCCTCCTCCCTTCTCGTGCACTCACCTGTGCTGTCGCACTCGCTCCCTCTCTTTCTCTCTCAAAATAAATAAATAAGCACTTAAAAACCAGTAAAATCCTTGCCAGCCTCAGGGACTAAGAGGTGTGATTTCAAAGGGCTAAACTTTAGAGGTTTTTAAAGCAGTACTCACAGACACAGCATGTGAGAACAAGAAATGAAATGATAGGAGCCTTGTGCTGAGCTGGTCAGGTCACTCTGTATCCAGATCATGGCAAGAAACTCTCTAGTAGCCAGTGTGCCCCAGGATTCTCTAGTATCAGAGATGTTTCCAGAGTAGAGCTAACTGGGGCAATTGCTCTTGTGTCTGAGCTTAGGGTGCAGGGAGCAGTAACCCAGGGCAGAAAGGCATAGATCCTCAGCTGGAAGCCAAAAAAGAAAGGCTCATAGTCCAATTCAACCCCTACCCCCCACTCCATGGCTGAGCCACTCCCTCCTTTTGCCCACACCTCCTAAATCTCCACATGTCTTCTCACAAACTCTCTTCCTTTTCAGGACTGTCCTTGTTCTTCTTTAAAAAAAAAAAAAAAATCTTTATTTTTTTAATTTTTAAAATGTATTTGATAAAAAATGTCAAAAAATATGGAAATATAACAATAACAGCTCCCATTTATGGAGTGTTTTCTTTGTGTAAGACACTATACAAAAACACTTAATGTGCATCATTTTATTCAGGTAGGTTTATTATCATCCCCGTTTACAGATAATAAGATTAAAGTTCATACAGGTGAAGTAACTTGCCCAAAGTCACATGGCTGAGATTTGAACCCAAGTGCTTTCTGTCCTAAGGCCATGTGCTTAAATATTGCACAAGCTTCCTTAAAAGTACATGGAAGAGGGAAATATCAACCCTCGTCCACCACTCAAAGGTAACTACTGTGTTATCTTTCCAGACCTCTCTTTACATAAGTGTGTGTGGTGTTTATTTTAATCTGATTTTAGTAGAATAAAATCTGGGTTGATTGGGCTTCCAGGAAGAGGGAGAATGAGTCACCCACTGTAATTTATCCAGATTTCTCTTCCCCTTAAAAAGCTCTAGCTCAAACAACCTGCACTTGGATGAGTCCTGAGCCCTCGGCTGGTTTCCAAGAGGCATGGGTATCTTGCTGGAAGCATCATGCCAAGCACATAGTAGGCACTCAGTTGTTTCTCTCCAGTGGTATTATCAGGAACAGGATTTTCTGTTATTCTTGGCCTCTACTCCAATGTAAGTATTTTAGAGCTGTGAGTTTCAGGGCACCTGGATGGCTCAGTTAGTTAAGCATCTGGCACTTGATTTCAGTTCAGGTCATGATCTTGCAGTTCATGAGATCAAGCCCCACTTTGGGCTCTGCGACGACAGTGCAGATATTGCTTGGGATTCTCTCTCTTCCTCTCTCTATCTCTCTGACTCTCCCCACATCTTAAAAAAAAAAAAGAGCTGTGAATTCCTTCCCTCTCTAGATGGTGCTGGTGCTGGTGCTGGAGCCAGATAAAGAACCAACTGCCCAAGTGAGCCTGGAAATACACACATGTCATCTCTCTGGAGAGCAAAATTGACACCATGACTACTGTTCTGGGACTGCCCTTTAAAACCTTTGCTGAGGGGCACCTGGGTGGCGCAGTCGGTTAAGCGTCTGACTTCAGCCAGGTCACGATCTCGCGGTCCGTGAGTTCGAGCCCCGCATCAGGCTCTGGGCTGATGGCCCAGAGCCTGGAGCCTGTTTCCGATTCTGTGTCTCCCTCTGTCTCTGCCCCTCCCCCGTTCATGCTCTGTCTCTCTCTGTCCCAAAAATAAATAAACGTTTGAAAAAAAAAAATTTAAAAAAAAAACAAAAAAAAAAAACCTTTGCTGAATTTGTACTCCTGGTCTTTCTCATGACTGCTGATGAAGAGAAGAGCTTCAAGGGTAGAGATAGTCACAGGTGAGGTGAAATGTGTGTGTTGGGGGTAGTGAGGAGAACAGAGTGGGATTCAATGGCTCTTCTGGAGTTCATAGGCGCTCCTGTCATCAGTTCTAGCCTGACTTCAGGGGGCTGGAGAATCCCCCACAGCCAATGAAGGGATTGACTTCAAGGGGCGGTGAATTACCCTGCTTGGTCATGAGACCTCAGCTGAGCAAGCAGAACAAACTGAGGCAAGTATGACAGAAGCTAATCAGGGACTCAGGAAACCTGTCTTTCCTTCTTACTTCTCACTAACCAGTACCTCCCCCTGCCACACATACAACCACACATATTCTCTTAAAAAATACACCAAGCCATAAAGTGGTAAATTTTATGTTATACGTATTTTACTGTGATTAAAAAGAATCATATTTAGCCAACCTGTGTTAAATATTCTATTCTCTGTCCTTATTCCTATGTCTATGTATTCCTCAGAACTGTAATCCAAGCACTGTAATCCACATTATTGCATTAGAATCACCTCAATTTGTGATATAATTTGTGAGTTTCCTAAATGAGGGATTACTAATTTTTTCTTTTTCTTTCTGCTTTTTGTGGAAGTATAACATATACACTGAAAAATGCACAAATCATAAATATACAGTTCTATAAATTTTCAAATGGCAAACACCTTCATATAACCAAAACCTAAATGAAGAAACAGAATGTCACTAGCACACCTTCCAGTCACTAGTTTCTCAAGGGTAATTCCTATTCATAAATTAAAAACATACATTAATTTCTCCTGTTTTTGAACTTGACATAAATGGAATTGTAAGTATGTATTCTTTTTTTGTCTGGCTTCTTCCACTTAACATTATATTTATGATATTCATCCTTACTATTGTATAGAGTTATAGACTATTTATTCCCATTGTTATCTAATACTCCTTTATATGAATTCACCATGATTTATTTATCCATTCTATTGTTCGTGGACATTTGAATTGTTTCTGGCTTTTAGCTATTACAAATAGTGTCACTATGAGCATTCTTGTATATATGTTTTAGTGAACATGTTTTTCTAGAAATGCAATTGCTGTCATAGGGTATGCACATGTTCAGCTTGGATAGATATTGTCAGACATTTTTCCAAGGTGGTTGTAACCAATTTACACTCCCACTAGCAATGTGTGAGAGTTCTGTTTGCTCCATATCCTCACCAACACTTGGTGTTGTCTGTCTTCTTTATTTTAGCCATTCTGGTGTGATGTGAACAGATATCCTGTTGTGCTCTTAATTTTGCATTTTCCTGTTGATTAGTGAATGGAGTATTTTTCATATATTTATTAGCCATTTGGATATTCTAGGAATTTTTTAAGGTTTTGCTTTCCTGGTTATTAAGGTAATACATGCTAATTGAAGAAGGTATGTCAAATACAGAAAGGAATCGTGGTTGCTTTGTACACGTCAATTTAGTTAAATTGGAACTACGTTTTTCAGAATTTTTTTTCCCTATCTGATTCCAGGCTAGATTTAGCCACAAGAAAATTTGCATAAAGGGTGCCTGGCTGGCTGAGTCCATTAAGCGACTGACTCTTGGTTTGGGCTCAGGTCATGATCTAGTGGTTTCATGAGTTGGAGCCCCACTGTGCTGACAGTGCAGAGCCTGCTTGAGAGTCTCTATCTCCCTCTTTCTCTGCCCCTCCCCCACTCATGCTGTGTCTCTCTTTTCTCTCTTTCTCTCTCAAAATAAGTAAGTAAACTTAAAAAAAAAAGTAAGTTTGCATAAGACTTCCAGAAGTGAAGCAGCCATGTTTATGTTCAGAAGGTCTGCATAAAGGCAGGCACCACTGCAACTCATACATGTCTCAGATCTGCTGGTTTACCTGTTGGCATGGGAAGGCAACTGGACTCATAGTTCCCACCACATCTTGCCCTTCAACTTGTTCAACTCCTGGTCCAAATGTGTGTTTAGCTCCATGCCAAAGGTCCCAGCTCCTTTTGCAGGTCACTGACATCACTGAGGTTGGAGGTGGTGGAGGCAGTGGGAGACAGATGCAGGTTCCACTTCACCCTTCAGGGTGCTACATTTTTCTTGCAAGTTCCAGTTTGCCCTCACTCTCCCATACTTCATGTCTCTTCATTCTTCCTAGCTGCTACCCTCCTGACTTCAGGCCCGGCGCGACAAACATAAGCAGCAAGTGCACATAAGCTATTTAACCAGCGCCCACAATTACATAACTTCAAATCCCTTATAATAAACCACTGATTCTAGGTCATTCTTAGTAGTTATGCATCTCTAATTAAACTCTGATACAGGCAATAAGAAGAAACAGACTTCACCTGTAATCCCACATCCCGAGTGGACCACTGTCAACATCTCAGTCTGTATTTTTCCTGCCTGGAGTATTTTCATTGAAGAGAATGAGTTCTGGAGAGGTTAAGGACTGCTCAGGGCTCAACTGGTAGGTGGCAGAGCCCAGCCGTCAGAAATCTGGTTTCATTCACGCCAGTGAGGTGTTGCTTCCACTGTGTCTCAGAATCCCTGAATGACCCTTTACTCCTTCAGCTTTCTGGGGGCCCTCCAACTCTGAGCATGAGCTCTGGGCCTGTGAGAACAGCTTTTGAACACATTTTCCTGGGCTTTTCGGCCACCTGCTTTTACAGCTTCCCCATTCTGTTCTGACCAAATTACAGGAGTTCCACCTTTCTGTTCCTCTTCAGAAAAAGAAAAGTCTTTTAAAATGAGAGTCATGCTGTGTCATCTACATCCGGAGAACTGACTAAGAAGTGATGGCCACCAGGGGGCCAAAGAGAGTCCTAAGGCCTTCCCTGCCCTGCCAAACACTGCTCCCCTGAAGTCTAGAGATGAAGTACTTTGATTTAAGCATTACTGTCTTGAGAGTTCTTTTTTCAAATAGAAGTACTCTTGAGAGAGGCAACACATGACATAATTCTTCAGAATGAATGATTTCCCAGATGTAGTAGTAAGTGACAAAAGCTTTGGTAAGAGAGGCTGGACAGGAGACAGCAGGAGGTGAAGTCAAAGACAAACTCCCTACCATACGATTTGGCCAAGAGACTCCAGGACTCTGAGTTTTATAAAACCAAGAGTCAACAACACTTTTCTGCTCAAACCTGAGACTTGGGCTTGAGATCTGCTCCTTGCCTAGAGGGTGGATCCTCTAGGACAGATTCACTTCCCTGAGAACAGAACCAGAGAGAAGCATCCAGAGATGGAGAGCAATTTAGAAACTAATGACCTTTGGGGTGCCTGGCTGGCTTAGTCAGTAGGGCACGTGACTCTCAATCTCACAGTCATGAGTTCAAACCCCAAGTCCAAGTAGGGCATGGAGCCTACTTAACATACATTTAAAAAGCAAAATACATTAAAAGATAAAAAAAAAATTCTGCTCTAGAAACTAGTGATGATGAGAAGAAGCTGGTAACACATACTCTTCCAGCATGTCAGTTATGCCTGACTGGCTTCTTGAAAAAGAAAAAAAGTGGATGTTGTAGTTAAGGTTTCTTGCTTTGTTTGTTTTCCCCTTCCAACAGCTATAGATACTGTTGGTCTCATTCCTGGTTTGTTCCTATCACTGCTCCCCAAGTAGAGGGGATAGTTACTCTACAGGTTGGTTGCTGAGCTGGGAGCCGCAGGCTGGCAGGGAGGCCACAGCCCAAAGCACAGGAGTGCCCAGGGGTAACATTATCCTGCCAGAGCTAAACAAGGAACTGAGTGTTTAGAATAACTTCAAGAAAGTCGTGGGTGTTTCCTCTGTCAGAGAAACAAGAAACCACAGTGAGATAATGGATAGCTATATTCAGGTCACAGATTATCAGCTGCCATTGCTACTTCCTGTTCAGAATTCAATGAAACTTCTTTCTAGTCACTGGAGCCTCATGGATTCTGCAAGCATGACAGCATTTTGTGATGTGGGGCTTGGAAGCGCTGCTAACCAGAGGTGGAACTGTTTTTTGGGGGGCGGGGGGTGAGTCTACAGGGGCCTGTTCCTCGTAGGTGGTGAGTGAGGAACCATCAGTGAGAATAATTTTTGCCAGACTCTTGGTATTTTTCAGGCTTTTAGACTAAGATTTTTGTGCATTATCTTATTTGACTCTTAAAACAAGTGCTATGCAAAAGACAAGTGATAGCGAGGATGTGGAGAAACTGGAACCCTTGTACACTGTTGGTGGGAATGCAGAAAAGTGTCCATCAACTGATGAATGGATAAAGAAGACATGGTATGTATATATTATATGTATATGTATGTGCATATATATATATATATATATATATAATGGAATATTACTCGGCGATAAAAAAGAAAAATTTTGCCATTTACAATGATGTGAATGAAGCTAGAGAGAATTTGTTTGTTTATTTATTTATTTATTTATTTATTTATTTATTTTTTCCAATATATGAAATTTATTGTCAAATTGGTTTCCATACAACACCCAGTGCTCATCCCAAAAGGTGCCCTCCTCAATACCCATCACCCACCCTCCCCTCCCTCCCACCCCCCATCAACCCTCAGTTTGTTCTCAGTTTTTAAGAGTCTCTTATGCTTTGGCTCTCTCCCTCTCCAACCTCTTTTCTTTTTTTTTCTTCCCCTCCCCCATAGACTTTTGTTAAGTTTCTCAGGATCCACCTAAGAGTGAAAACATACGGTATCTGTCTTTCTCTGTATGGCTTATTTCACTT